AACTCTTGGGCTCAAGCGAGTCTCCTGTCTCCACCTCCCAAGAAACTGGAACCACAGGTGCCCACCACATCCAGCTTTTTGGTTGCAGCCATCATTGTTTGGCGGGCCCAGGCTGGATTCAAACCCACCAGCTCAGGTGTATGTGGCTGGCGCCTTAGCCACTTGAGCCACAGGCGCAGAGCCAGGATAAATGTCATTTTAATGGTAGTATTTTGAAAAGCCAAAATTCATTCAGAAACAACCTAAAAGTCTAAAAGCAGATTTTAAATGAAGACAAGATCAGTATTACTGCTTTTTCCATTTGCCTCAAGCATCAATCTGCTTTGGTTCAACACTGTTTTGGGGAATCTGTTTTGTTTTGTTTTGCAGTTTTGGCCAGGGCTGGGTTTGAACCCACCACCTCCAGCATATGGGGCTGACACCCTACTCCTTTGAGCTACAGGCGCCACCCATCAACACTGGTTTTAATTAATATTTTTTATATTTAGCCTATCATGTGTGGTTAAAACTAACTTGTATTTCTTAACTGTTATGTATGTTAAAGTATGTATTACCATTACTGTTTTTTGGTAAATTTTGCACACAAAAATTGGGGTGGCACTTTAGTGCAGGGTGTTGAAGAACTGGGAAACCCTAACATAGGAAGAGCCCCTTACCTTCCTTACCCTTCATAAAATTGGAGCACCGCTTTCTGTCAGCTTGTTTTTCTTTGTTGTTGTTTGAGGCAGTAAAGAAAGCCAGTGTTCCTGTTTCCACTCTTGCTCTTTTCTAGGTTACTTTGGAAGAGGTCAATTCCCAAATAGCACTAGAATATGGCCAAGCAATGACAGTCCGAGTATGCAAGATGGATGGAGAAGTGATGCGTAAGTGCTGCCCTCTCCCTTCAGGCCTTATGGTCTGAGGTTTCATGGGGGCACAATGTTAGCTGTACTAGTTAGCAGAAACTCACTGCCCATGCCAGGGGTATTGGGGCAACCACAAACCTGCCCTGCCCACAGTTCAGCTCAGTAAAGCTTCTGGGTTACCCTTCTGCCATCTGAGGCTTTGACTGTGGGTTCCCACCATGCCTTTTCTCCCCTTTGCATCCATGGTTGCAGCTGTGGTTGTAGTGCAGAATGCCACGGTCCTGGACCTGAAGAAGGCCATCCAGAGATATGTGCAGCTCAAGCAGGAGCGGGAAGGGGGTGTTCAGCACATCAGCTGGTGAGTGGAACAGCAGCTCCCAGCTCCACCTGAGCACACTGCCACTAAGTGACAAGCTCCTTGTCATAATAAGAGTTCAGACAAGGTGGGTGCTTCTCTGCCTGGGACTCCTGCCTCAGCTGCTCTTTCAAAACATATTGACTCGGGCAGTGCCTGTGTGGCTCAAAGGAGTAGGGCGCTGGCCCCATAAGCTGGAGGTGATGAATTCAAACCCACCCCTGGCCAAAAATTGCAAAAAAACCCAAACAAATAAAACATACTGACTCTTTCATCTGTATTGCCCCACCCAAGCTGCTTGATATCTTCATTTGAGGACACTTTATACCCTTTCTACTGTCTAGAAGTGGCCTCCCTAGGCACAGATGATGTGTCTATCAGGGCTCCTGTCCTCCTCACCTACATGCTTCCAGCCTTCACTCTCCTTTTGGATGAAGTGTCATGTTAGCTGAGTCTTGGCAGTGCCACCTATTTTATTAGCAAAGTGTGTTTGGCCCTGCAGCCCTTTGAGAACAGTGCCTCCTTACAGCTGCCTAACATTGGGCTGATGCCTTGAGACCCTGTCATGCACAGCCACTCAGCTCACCCTGCTCAGGGCATAAAATTTACCTGAGTCCCCTTCTTGCAGGTCTTATGTGTGGCGGACATACCATCTGACCTCTGCAGGAGAGAAGCTCACAGAAGACAGGAAGAAGCTCCGAGAGTAAGTGCAGGCCATGTCTTAGTTGTAGGAGGACATCTGGTTTGTTGCCCTCTAGGCCCTCATGTTCTGCTAGAGTAGGGCAGCCCCCTCCCAGGAGGTGATGCCTTCCTGCAAGGAACTTCTTTGGGACTGGGACTCTCCCTACTAGAAGAACGGCAGGCAGAGGTACAGCTTGAGGGGCCCCGCTGTTCTCACCAGCAGCAGCTCAGGGCTGCACAGTGCTAGGAGAATGGAAATGAGAATGGGCATGGAGTGAAAGGCTGCCCTGCTGTTACAACAGGTCTATGGGGGAATGTCCATTACCACCTCCTGGACCTCTTGGGCCACATTCATCCCTCCTGGTGTTTCAAATTCTTTTTTTTTTTTTTTTTTTGAGACAGAGCCTCAAGCTGTCCCCCTGGGTAGAGTGCCATGGCATTACAGCTCACAGCAACCTCCAACTCCTGGGCTTAAGCGAGTCTCCTGCCTCTGCCTCCCAAGTAGCTGGGACTACAGGCGCCCGCCACAATGCCCGGCTATTTTTTGGTTGCAGCCGTCATTGTTGTTTGGCGGGTCCGGGCTGGGGATTCGAACCCACCACCTTAGGTGTATGTGGCTGGCGCCTTAGCCAGTTGAGCTAAAGGCGCCAAGCCTCAAATTCTTAGTCCTTCACAAGCCTCTAGTGGGGAGTCACAAATGTCCACTTCTGTAGGTCAAACACTTACATCTTATCTTTCCTTTCCTTCCAGTTATGGTATCCGGAATCGGGATGAGGTTTCTTTCATCAAAAAGCTGAGGCAAAAGTGAACCTCCTGATAAGGACAATTCTACACACTGGTGGCTGAGCTTTTTCAGAAGGATGGTGCTCTCAAGTTGTCCCTCTTTCACAGAAAGGACATTGAGGGACCTCAGCCCAGGTGTGGCCACCTGGGACTGTCAGCATGAACCCTACAGCCCTGAGGACTAGGACAGGATGAGCCAGTGCTCCCTTCCTATCTATTTGGCCTGAGCCTGACATCTCCTTGGGCCCAAATACCCTAACCACACAGCCAGTCCTACAGACTGTGGGCCTGGCTCTGTGTACAGAATAAATCTGTTTGTTTCTTAGTCTGAAAAGTCAAAAAGACACAGTACCCTATGTAGGAGAGACTAGACCTCCCCATCATGGTGGTAAGAGATGCAGGTGTGTTCCAGAGCCCAGGTGTGTCATATCTGAACCGAGGCCACACCACTTCCCAAATCACATGATTCTGTTACCATGATCTCCACAGCATGGAGGAAAAACTAGCAGAGCAGCTGTCTTTCTTTTTCTCCTTGTGGGGAAACAAGGGCATGCATCCCAAGAGCCACAGTGGGAATGGTGGTGTGGCACAGCCATGGTGGGTACTCTAGCCTCAACCCACAGGGTTCACCTACAGCAGTGCCTTCAAGCTCCATGAAAGGGAGGTAGCACAGGATGGAAACTGGAGCTGCTGGGGTGAGGAGAGTACTTCCCAGTCGGAGGGGTACATAACAGCATGTCCCTCGGGCCTTGCCCCAGCATTGGTTAAGGAATGGGGAGCAAGGTGCACCTCTGACTGAGGGACTTCACTGCAGGTAGAAGAGCCGGTGCTTGACACTGAGTCAGGCCAGGGACCTCTCTGGCCTCCCTCTATAGCCCCAGCCAGAAACAAGGTGGAAGGAGGAAGAAGGCCTAGTCAAGTTAGTGGCAGCTAAAACGCTCCCAGTCCATTTATTGGCCACTTGAGGTGGTCGTCAAGAGACTAGTTATTAGAAGGTTATCACAGGAAATAGCATAAAAAATGCCCAGCAGTATGAAAGGTTCAACGGACATGAACAAGGCACAAAGGATCTGTGTTCAGGAAACTGGCAAGTCCCACATGCCTGTGAGGCTAAGGGTGATCGTGCCCATCTGGCTCTGGCCTGCTGGAGTGCATGGCTGCCCATGCTGGCAGCCAGCTCAATGGAGCTGAGCGTCCAGTTCATACTTCTCACAGAACTTGTCAGTGAAGGGGATGCAGGTGAGGAACTCACACCACTCACAGCGGACAGGATAGAAGTAGAAGAGGACCACCAGTCCAGCTAGGAGTCCCAGGAAGACCACCTGAAAGATGATGATCTGGCAGCGCTTACGGTACAGGTCAAACTTGCCAAAGCTAATGTAGGGCAGGAAGGCAAAGGAGAGGAAGAGGCCACTGATGAAGCCTGAGATGTGGGCAAAGTTGTCGATCCAGGGCAGCAGCCCAAAGGTGAAGAGGAAGAGCACCACGGCGAGAAGCTTGAAGAAGGCACGCCAGGGCCGCACCAGAATCTGCCAGCTCTGAAAGAGCTCCACAAAGAGGCAGGCCAGGATGCCAAACTGCGAGCCCGCTGGGCCCACCTGGGGGGCAGTAAGAATGGCTGTGAGCCAGGGGGGCTGAGTGGGCCCCCCTGGACCAGGGCCTCATCTTTCCATCCCACCTCCCATGGCCAAGAGCAGCACATCAGGATGGAGGAGCCACATGGAGATGCTCCCAGGCTAGGCACTGTGGAGACCCCGACCACCAGAGCATGTGGGAGGCTCCCCACCCCAAAGGACAGCCTTACCTCTGCCCGGTATGGCAAGAAAATGGCACTGGCCAAGTTGCCAGTGACACCACTCAACAGGTAGATGATGGCTATTCGGTGCCAGCCTGCCAGCTTTTCCAGGTCCCGCAGGACGGTCATCTGGAAGCAAACGGACACCAGGCAGTGCAGGATCCTGTAGGGGTGGCAGGAGGCACTCAGCAGGGAAAGGGACCACTCCCAACCAGCCACACCTGTGGTCCCTGAGACCCCACCACCTTGCCCACAGTGTCACTTGCCCAGCGTGCAGGAAAAGGGACAGCCACAGGCGGTAGAACTGGTCAGGCACCTCCGGGTTGAGGAAAGGCAGGAGCCCACACACATCATCCATGCAGTGCACCTGTGGGAGCAGCCCATCAGCACCCACAATGGCTGGGAAGAGGAGTACACCCTCACCCTGGAGGTCTACCTGAGAGCAGAGTGTGGCCTCCTCATGGAAGTAGCCCCTCATGAAGTCACAGTATTCCCGGGAGGTGATCTCACACCTGGAAGGTCAGGCTAGAGTTTGGAGGGTGCCACTTTGCAGAGGACTACTGTTTCAGCCTACCCACCCACCTTTGTTTGCCTTGAATAAGTCCAGACCCTTTCTCACCCCACATGCCTCAATATTATCAGGTTATCTCAGGACTTGCTGAGGGAGAAGGGCATGGCCTAGGACAACACTGTGACCTACCTGCCCTTGGTGCCAATGCAGCAGGGCCGGCCTGTTATGACACAATCCATGTGGGGATGGTTGGTGTGGTTTCCAGCACTGTTTTTGGTGCAGATCTGGGTCACAGATAGGGATGAGATGGGTGAGGACCTCCTCCAACCCTCCACCCCACACCATGTTTGGAGTTAAGGCAAAGATGGACAAGCTCATGAAAACAGGCCTTCCTCAACTTCAATCAGGCCGTCCTAACCCTTAGCTGGGCCATCTGTCAAACTGGACTAGTATCAGCAGACCTCCCAAGTCTTCACCTAGCTCACTTGCTCAGAGGGGCAGGCTGTGGTTGATTGATAGGCTGTGCAAAAGCCAGGGGCATAGCATCTGAAAATGTGGGAATCTCTGGCATTACTAATGGGTGGGTGTCGCTTCCTCCCCCACAAACTAAGGTGACTCACCAACAACTCCCCACCCCAGCTTACTGGCCACTTGGTGATGTCTTCTGGCCACTCATGGGGATCTTCAGAGGAGGGTTCATCACACACCCTGCATAAACCAAGTGTGTAGGTCAGACCCAGCTTTGAGCCCTTAACATTGGTACCATTCCACTCAACTCAACATCCCTCCATCACACCCTCCAAGAAAGCGTAGACAAAAGCAGGGAAGAAAGCAGCTAGCAGGACTGACCTGGGATCCTGGTGGCAGACAGAGCCAAACTGTCTCTTTTGGCCTGCAAAGTCTGGGGCGCTAGGATGGATGGGCCACTTCACCCACACTGCCAGGGTGGACTGTGAAAGGGACACAGGGTCAGCCCCTGGTCAGAACCTACTTGCCTCATTCAGCCAGGACAAAGTGGGGGTTCAGGGAGTCAGGAGTCAAAGGCAAAACCACTGAAATCCTCTCTGACTCTGCAGCTCAACTCTGGAATTTATACTCCTGAAATGCATGCGCATGTTGGAATAGATTCTGTTATGAAGAGTTCAACACCACAATTACTAACTTAAAATTAGACACAACGTCTGTGTCCTGGGCAGCACCTATGGCTCAAAGGAGTAGGATGCCAGCCCCATATACTGGAGGTGGCAGGGTTCAAACCCGGCCCCAGCCAAAAGCTGAAAAAAAGAAACTTCTGTGTCCTAAATCAGAGAACTGGTATAAACTATGGCACCTGCATATAAAATGATGTGATAAAAACTTGGATGACCAATCTTTAAAAAAACTGTTTACTGGGTAAAACACAATACCAATTATGTAAACTTGAAGATACATGCACACAAACAGGATGCATACTGAATGAGTATACCCAAATCCAAAAACCAAATCAAAAAATCAAATGTTGATCTAATGGGTGAGGAAATGGAGATGGAGGAGGATGGAGATATGGAATGAATGTGAGGGGAAGGGCCTTGCATAGCATTGCAGACAATGCTATGTGCCAAGGACAGAAGTAAAGGATCTATATGATCCTTTATGGATCTCTCTGAAGTCTGAACACATACAGTGCAGATGAGAATGGGAGTCGGGCAGGGAAACGCACCGAGCACTCCTCCTCCGAGGTCTGAACGCAGCCCGACCTGTCATTCCGCACGCAGCAGGCCGAGTGCTTTTCCCGCTCACGGGCCGCATGGATGAAGCTGTGCACCTGCGGGTCCTGGCGCATGCAAGGTGAAAACTTGGCGCCCAGATGAATGAGGGCCTCCTGTGGGTGAAGAGGGATGTGCAGTTTCAGCTCCAGGCCATCTGCACACCTGACTCTTCCAGGCAGAGCCCCGCCAGGCTCCACCCCTAGCCACGCCCTCACCGAGCTGGGCCCGATCCAGAAGTTCTCCTGCTGCACATACTTTACGTTCTCATAGACCCCGCGGTTCCGCAGCACCTAGGAGGTTGGGAGCAGGATCAGACAGGCCAACTTGAGCTGCCTTCTCCCAGAACAGGGTGGGAGGGGTTCCAGAGCCCACACTGCAGTCATCTCGGACCCAGGGAGGGCACAGGGGCTCACCGAATCCACCGTCTCATGCTGTGAGAAGCCCACGGGCGCGATGCCATAGATGCACACGGCTAGAATGGTGACCAGTGAGTGCACGAAGGTGAGCCAGTAGGTGAAGAAGGGCCTACGAGGCGGAGCGTCAGCGGGGGAGCTGCATGCCCAACCCACAGCTCCCACCCTCACTTAGAAGCCTCCCTCCTAACCCAAAGGACTGCGGACCTAGGGCTGCACTCCCATGACACACCTACCTGTGGTCATCCATGTCCTCTATCTGGCGCTTGACATAGCTGTCTATGCGCTTGCGGTAGGTGCGGTTAGTGAGCCGTCCCACCATGCCCAGCCCATACGGCCGCTTCTCTCTGGCGAAAAGTTTGCGCACAGGCACCGCGATGCGCTGGCCCCGGCGGGGCCCCGCGGTGCTCACTACCTCCTGCCGAAGCCGCACCTTGGGCTGTGAGGCTGCTGCACTGCCTTCCTTCTGCTTCCGCCAGCCACGCTCCAGGGGCCTGCAGGGAGTCAGTGCATGGACCTCCATCCCAGACTCCCAACCTGCTGCCCTCCCTTCCTCCCCCACACCTAGGAACTGGGGTACATGCCAGGCACTGTGCATCCCAGGACCATCAGGGAAGATGCCTGCCGAGTTAAGCCTCCTCACCAGGAAAAGAACAGCCCTTCCCCCCTCCTCCCCAAGCCATGGCAAGGAGGAAGGAACCAGGACCCACTAGAATCCTGGTTCTCCACTTTGGCAAGTATTTAGCTAAGTCATCTGCTCCTCCCCACTGGATTCTGTCCATTTCCTGGGCTCTGGGATTGTTACCCACACCAGAGGTAGGCAGTTACGCAGGGGTCATGCCCAGCCCCGGGCCTCCTGCCTATGGTGGATTCCCAGTCCATGAAGTGTCCTTTTCTGTCACCCACAGACTGTTAATGTCCAGCCTTGCCCAGCTGCTCCTAAGGAACTAGAGGCCCTCCTGCTGGACCCTCATGTGCCTCCCACACTCACAGCATCAGGTGGCTGCGCTCAAGCTCACTGCGGTCTAGGGCCCCACCGGTGAGGTCTGCCTGCTCTGGGGCTTTCTCCCAGTCCTTGAGCGCTGCTTCTGAGGGGGACTCAAACACTTCATCTGGGTACGTGGACAGCTCCTCGTGGAGGATACCTTCCTGAGCAAACATGTGAGGTCAGGGTGGACGCAGAGATGAAGAGGATGGGGCGATGGCCTGGGCACTTCTTACCCGGGCAAAGAAGGATGTATCCAACTCATCTGGGAAATCAGCTGTGTCCTCCTCCAGAAAGCTGGCCGGAGTAAAGCTTCGGCGCTGAGCCCGGCGCAAGGTGCCATCCCTAATCGAGCGGCCCTGGGGGCAAAAAATTGAGCGAGGGCCCAGGAACCAGCTGCAGTCCCACCCCTACCCTGGGCCCAGCACCCACCTTCACCAGTGCTGCTGCTGCCCGGAAGCTCATCTTGGCCACCGACTCACGCTTGCGCCGCCGCGGGAGCCGGTTGAAACCTGAACGGGAGCTGGAGAAGGAGCAGAGGGAGGCAGCACCTGGCGTGATGGGCGTGTGCGGGGCACTCAGGCCATCCACAGCATCATCTGCCACCCGGAAGGCCCGACCACGGGCTAGGGGGTCTATGATCTGGTGGAGGGGAGGGTATGCTGGGGTCAAGGCTGGGTCAGCAGCATGGGGGTTCCTCACATACCCAGGCCTACACAGGCCTTACGCAAAGTCATGAGTGCTTCTTCTCTCACTTCTTGTGGGTACCCTCCCCACCCTTCAGCCCCGAGAGGTCCTTCTCCCTGGTAGTAAGGTCTGTGCACTGCTGCTCAGACTGGGATGCTCCCCCATCTAGAAGCTGAGCCCTGGGTACTATCCTACGACCCGGTCCCCACCACAAAATCCTCCTTCCCAGAGAGTATCTCAAGTGCCTTCAGGGGACTGTCTGACCACTCTTCCAGGCTATGTCTCCAGCCCAGGGGAAAAGAATGGGGGCCTGCAGGGACAACAGCCAGCATCATACCTTCTGCATGCCCAGCTGGCATGGCCCCACATATAGTGGGGGTGGTGTCTCAGTGCTGGTCAGCGACACATTGTCCTGGCTAGGCAGGTCCAATTCCCGGATGACTTGGGGCTTCAGTTTCCCATAGCGCTGGCTGCAGTGACGGATGCTCTTGCGTTGCCATTTCTGGGTGCTGTCGCTGTCCTTGCTCACTCCAAACCAGTCAGCTGTCCCCCTGGCATAGGAAGGACTCAGCAAGGGGCAGGCAGATCTCCCTGCTCCCACACAGGGGGCTTCAAAGGCCCCCCTCCAGGCAGCATGCCCTGCCCCAGGCCTCCTGTCACTCTAGGGTCCAGGGTCCGAGTAGTCATGGTCTAACTAAGAAGATGAGTATGCACTGTCCCTGGCCTCCTGCTCAATAGTTAGCCAATTTGAAAACCCCACTGGGCTGCAGCTAGCAGGCCTTGCCCAGCTAAGCACTTCACACAGGCCCTCACCCGATCCTTGAAGGGGGACTGAAGAGGATACTGCGCCTACACAGGCAGCTGAGAGCTCACCCCAAGGAAGCTCAGCCCAGGCAGCAACCCAACCCAGTACACCACAGGATTCAGACAGCAGGCCCTGCCCCACAGCCCTTGGACATGCAAACAAAACACTGGCAGCGTCCAATTTAAGCACCCCAAGGAATGTCAACCACACTGGCAGCTCCCAAGAGGCCACATGCCATGCATACACCAGAAAACACCAACACACTCATGACCTGTGTGAGGCACCTGAGCAGGGACCAAGAAAGAGACTGGCGCTGCGGGAGGACCCTGCGGGCCTGGGGACCCAAGAGGGGCAGAGTGTAGACACGCCCAAAGCGTACTTGTCGGCTGCTGAGAGGCCAGAGCATTAGGGAGGTGGAAGAAATGGAGTATGAGTGCTGGGGTGGGGATAGAGGGAGAGCAGTCAGTCCCTAGAACAGCAGGAAGATAGGAGGCGTGGGGACTAAGACTGAGGAGAACACTGGACAGGAGGACCCCCGCCCCAGTCCCAGCCCAGTGTGCCTGCCTCTGTCCCCACACCCCCAGCCCCCACCTCATGGCGTGGCTGGGGTAGTGCAGTACCTGCGAATGGTCTGTGTGATGGATGTCTGGCGCTGCAGCACGGGCCTCCGGGGCTCAGGGTGGGGTGAAGGGACATGGACTGTCTCAGCTGGCATGCTCACACTCCGCAGGAAAGCCTGGCGCCTCAGGGGCTGGGCAATAGGGTCATGGTAAGGGCAATGGATGAGAGTGTGCACCCACAGCTCCTGCTGGTCAGGGCCTACCTGCAGGAAGCCGGGCTCCTCTGCTGCTGGGGGTGCTGCAGCCGGGATGTCTAGCTTCAGCCAGGGGGGCTTCTTGCGCTGCAGACTGCTCGTGCTGTCTCTGCGAGCCTCACTCATGGTTCCAGGGAGAGCGAGGCAGGCCTGGCAGTGGGGGGAGGGGGAATTTCAACAAGGACAACACTGACAGAGCTCTGAAGACTGTCAGGCCCAGACACTGACACGCTTGCCCCCACAGACAGTGCTGGGCGCATCCAAGGTCCTCAGACAATGTACATCCTCCACAGACCACTTTTTGAGTACCTACCATTCCAGATGCTTGGGATGGACTGGTGACGAAATAAGACAAAATCCTTGCACCCAAGGAGCATACAATCTAGAGAACCATAAACTGACAAATATGTAAATATACTCTGGTAAAAGATGCTAAGTGTGATAGGGAAAAGAGCAGATTATGGTCCTCAGTTCTGCTTTCCTCAGTAGGAGGCAATGCGGCCTCCCTCGGAGGTGATATGAACAGAGGCTTGAGGGAGGAGAGTAAGTGAACTCAACTGGTGCTACAGAGGGCCCCAGAGGGCCCCACACATGAACAGCCAGTTCCAGGTCCTAAAGAGATGGGGGCTCACCCCCATCTGCACCCCTACCTGACCCAGATATCAGCCTCTCAACCATGACTTCCACTGAAGGACACAGAGGTCCCTGGTGGCACCAGGCTCCTCCACGCAATTGACTGTCCAGAAATGGTGCAGACACCACAATGACCACCAGGTGGTGCAATGTGCCCAGAAACAGCTGTGAGGGGCTCTGCAGGGGGTGAGGGAGGTGTAATGAGAAGCAGTGCACCCCAAACCTACTACTTGGGCACACAAAGGAGTCCAGAGCAGAGAGGTCAGCATTTGGGCCACCACTGCCTGGCCAAGTCACTGAGACAGTCCTCCTTGGGACTCTCCCCCCTTGCACCTTGGTGATAGATCTGCACCTCTCCCCTCATCAAATGGGATGATAGGATCTGGAAAGTGACGGAGATAGAGGTTCAAGATTGGAAGCATAACGGGGACACAGAGAGTGGGGGGATCGCTGGTGCTTCCTGAAGCAATTTTGGGCAGAAAACCCATAATTCCTCAGCCTCTTAAAAGAGCTCAGATCCCGACAGACTCTGAGCTATAGAGTCATAACCCTCCCACTAATGCCCCCAGAAATGACTTCCACTTGTGAGTCTCCCACCCAGCTACCTGAAGGGGCTATAAAGTAAGCCCCACCCACACCATACAAGAAGGGAAACTCAGGCCTAAAAAACAGAGGTTTGCCTTGCTCAAGGTCACATATTCAGGGCAGCATACTAGGAACAGGCCCAGGACACTGCTCACAGCTGCTAATGGTCTTATACTAGCTAGGGACAGTCCTAGAACAGTGCTCACAGCTCCTAGTGGCCCTCCACTGACCAGAGACAGCTCCAGGTGCTGCTCATAGCTCCTCCTGGTCCTACATGGGCCAGAAACATGCCCAGTGGGAGGGTATCCTTCCAAATGCCTTCTCCTGGCTCTCAGACTACCCTCACATTCCAGCTCCTTCTCTGAGCTGACCATACATTTCAGGTCTAGGGGAGCAGCTGGAGGCAAACCTCAGGGAAGCACCCAAGCATGGGGTCTTTCAAACCACATGGCCCCACAAGTCTGTGTTCCTCTCACTGCCCTCAGCTAGCATGATCTCAGGGCCTGCATCTGTCTCCACTCACTGGGAGGGTCTCTGCCCCCAAACATTTTGATCTCTAGGCTGTGTGGGCCCCAGGGGCCTTGTGAGCAAGGGGCCAGGCACCAGGCAAAAGGGAGACCCCTCAACATTTCACTAGGGGAAGCCATGCTGCCTTCCATCCATCCCAAGGAGCCACTCTGGCCCTGCCACCCAAAAGTCACATGCTTAGTTAGTTTCAGTGTTCTTGCCTAGAAAATGGGTCATTGTGGGGTCCACAGAGGCACAGGGCCACCACTGGAGTCACCACACCAAGTGCCAGAGAACACTCCATGGGAGCCTCCCCACCTGTGCCCAGCCTCTCTAGTAACATCCAGCTGGGGCCTTCGCTCAGGAGTACCAACAACCTCTGCCCCCCAATCAGCTCATACTATCCATAACCCCCATGGCACCTGCATGCCCCCCAAGGCCTGTCCTCACACCTGGCTTCCTCCCATCCCAGAGCCCCTCAGCAAATGCAGCCTCCCAGCCTCCCATGCACCCCAGGACCTGCAGCCTCAGTCAAGCTGCCCACTCCCAATCTGGCATAGCATGGCACAGCAAGAGAGTTCATTCATACATGTGCAGTCCTCTGTCCTGTCATTGCTAGGTCCACAGTGCTGAAGACAGGCTTTCTCTGAAGCCTCTGCTAGGTAAATACTGATTACCGCAGAGCACAGGCCAGCACCATGATCTGGGGTAGAAGAGGATTCTTCAAAGAGCTAAGTCCTCTACTGGGTCTGGTAGGAGGGACTGACTGTGTGAGAGTCAGGAGTGGGAACAGCATGGGATAGAAGGTGAGAAGGGCCAAGGCTATAAACATACACAGGAAGCCTGACATCCCCTCAGTCCCCACCTGAGGTGGCCTTGAGAAACACTACAGTTCAGTTCATGAGGGAGGCACCACCCCCATGCCCTCCCCACACAGCTCCAGGTCCAGTGAATGGCAGAGGACACCCACCCTGCCCTCAGTGCTGTGTGACCCCAGCCTGCCACACCCCTGTATGCCTGGCTCCCCATCATACCCTCAAGTGAGCAGGATTCAATGCTGCACCACAGCAAGAGCAGGGGAGGGGCAGGCCCAGGCTAGACAAAGAGTCTGGGCCAGGGAGCTGCACATTGCCTTCCAGAAACAGTGGCTCAGTGTCCAGGCCTTCCCCCAGCACACAGTGGGCTCTTGTTCCCAGACAGCCCCTCAGGGGGAATCCCAGCAGCATCTCCCCTCTGCTAACCCCACAGTGCAGGGAAAACCACAGCCCATGGAAAGCCTGACCGCCTGGGGTCACAGAGCATGCATCAACTCCAGCAGTGTTCATGGCTGCCAACCCTGGCCAAGCCACATCAGATAGCACCCACAGGGGCATCTAGAAGTCAGGTGGGATGCCGGGTGCAGTGGCTCGTGCCTAGCACTCTGGGAGGCCAAGGTGGGTGGACTGCCTGAGCTCACAGGTTTGACACCAACCTAAGCCAGAGTGAGACCCCACCTCTAACAATACCCAGGTGTTGTGGCAGGCACCTATAATTCCAGCTACTCAGGAGGCTGAGGCAAAACAATCACTTGAGCCCAAGAGTCTGAGGTTGCTGTGAGCTGACACCACAGCATTCTACTAGGGGCAACAAAGTGAGACTCTGTCTCAAAAAAAATAAAAGTTAGGTGGGAAATGCTGAAGAATAAACACTAACAGAGGTGACAGAATCTGGTAGGGGTAACAAAATGTCAGCACATCCCAGAACACAGGAGCCAATGTAGAGGTGCCAGTAAAGACAGCTGGCAGCTCAGCGCCTGTGGCTCAAGCAGCTAAAGCGCCAGCCACAGGAGGGTTTGAATCCAGCCTGGGCCCACCAAACAACAATGATGTGCTTGAGGCTCTGTCAACCAAAAAATAGCCAGGTGTGTGGCAGGCACCTGTAGTCTCAGCTACTTAGGAGGCAGAGGCAGGAGAATCACTTGAGTCCAGGAGTTGGAGGTTGCTGTGAGCTGTGATGCCACAGCATTCTACCCAGGGTGACAGCTTGAGACTCTGCCTCAAAAAAAAAAAAAAAAAAAAAAGACAGCTGGAAACGGACACTACACTCAGATCCCATTTACCTTCACCACCTACAACCTTAGGAAAGTCTCAGTTTTCACTTCTGAATATCAGGGACATAGCAGTGCCCAACACACAGTAGGTGCTCTACTGGAGGCAGCTGAGTCAACAACAAAAAGTCAAGAGCTGCTTGTGGAAACCAGGGCCTCTGCAGGACAGGAAGGCAGCCCAAACTGCAGGGAGGAGCGGGGTGAGAGAGGGCCCAGAGCACATGTACCAAGAGGGCCAGGGAGCCCAGGGACAGGGCCCTTCAAAGGAGATGAGTTTAAGAAGTGACAAGATGGCTTGGCACCTGTAGCTCAAGCAGCTAAGGCACGAGCCACATACACCAAGGCTGATGGTTCGAATACACCGGGTGTTGTAGCAGGTGCCTGTAGTCCCACCTACCTGGGAGGCTGAGGCAACTCTTAAGCCCAAGAGTTTGAGGTTGCTCTGAGCAGTGATGCCACAGCACTCTACCCAGGGCAACAGCTTGAGACTCTGTCTCCAAAAAAAAAAGGGACAAAAGAAGTTCTGACCAGCCTAGGCCTGGACAGTGGTCACAGCCAGCATGAACCTGAACCCTCAGTTGTGAGCAGCAACCACTGATGTCAGGCCTGTCCAGCACACTCCACTCACAAGATGATGCTGGCAGGGATAACTGAAGGCAGAGTAGATAGCCAGCCCCAGGGCCAGAATCATCAAGCCTGGGCCCTGCTCTGCCCAGGGAACTGCCCACTACCAAGATCAGCTGAAGCAACAGGCCTCACCCTGGGACACCTTCCCAGATGTGTCCTCAACTCGACCAAACCTGGTCCCAGGTCCCCTGGCTCCTCCAGCACCTCTACCTGCACCTGGTTCCCCAACCCTCAGCCTTCTGTTTGACCCCTAATCTGATACCCAACCTGGACCCCCAAGAGGGAAATTGCCAGCTGTCTGGCAGCCTAGAATCCAGTCCTTCTGCCCTACATGCTGCTATGTAGCAAAGTGAAAATCACCTGGCTTTTCTATGCTTCTTCTGCAAGTGGGATCATACCAAGAATGAGATTTGCCAGGCCCTTTGCAAATCACAAGCATCCTTCACTCTCTTAGGGACCCCTCTGCTTTTCTGTGGAAGAAATGAGAGCAGGACAGGTCTGAAACCAGACTGGTGGCCCCAGGATTACATGCTGCATCCCTGCCTCCCCATATCACCCAGATAAGCACACAAAGGGCAACAACAGAACTAGAGGCTTCCTTCTGTGGACAAGCTGTGAGGAAGGCCAGCCAAGGCCCTAGAGACACAGGGATCCCTGCTCATAAAGATACTTCTGGGACCTGGCTTAAAAAGATGGTACACAGGGGAGGAAAGGGGCCAGCTCTGGAAAAGGGGTGCTGATCTAGGCTCAGCTAGAACACTTGGCACAGGGCAACTGACAGCCAGAGTCAAAGCCCCTGACCCAGCTGGGGCTGACAGGAGCTGTCAGGCCCACTTGGGGGTCAGGGAACCCAGGGCTCAGGTTAGGGGACCTATGCAGGCCATCCAGTCAGAAAGAGGGTGAGGGGCAGTGCCTGTGGCTCAAAGGAGTAGGTCACTGGCCCCATATGCCAGAGGTGGTGGGTTCAAACCCAGCCCCTGGCCAAAAAACTGCAAAAAAAAAAAAAAGAAAGAAAGAAAGAAAAAAGGTGGAAACAAGAACTATATCAGATTCTGGGTATAACTTTCCCTTTAATCTGGACACTTCTGTTCCCTATCTGGGGTCAGAAGTTGAATGAGCAGGGTCTCAGAGTTAAATGAAAGCATCCTCTCCAGGCTGGATGGGGGAAAGTCCCATATCCCATCAACATGCTGCCAGAGAATACATAAGCAGCCCAGTCACCATCAGAGTGCTCTAAAAGTGTCCCTGGCTGAACTCACACACATGCTTCCTGGTGTCCAGGCTTCCTCAGGCTCAGCAACCCTTTTCCTGGCCCACTAGCAACAGAAGCCAGGCACACCTGCCCCAAACCTGATCCCACTAACCCCATTGACCTGTTATAAACCCTGGGAGGGGGGGCCTCTGAATCTACCTTACAGATAAGGAAACTGAGGATCAGAGAGGTCAGTCACTGGCTAGGGTCATAGAGCCTCTAAGGTGGCTCAAAGCTTTGGACCAGGTCTGCCCAGCAGCTATGGTAGAAGGGTAGACCCCATCTGCCTGCCCATTGGCCCTCGCTGCAGAGGAGGGAGCAGACCACACAGCCCTCGGGCTATTGAAAGCTGACTATCAGACCCCTGTGGGCCCCCATCCCACCCACCCTTCCAAAGGCACCTCAGTTGAGGGAAAAGGGAGTTACCCCAAACACACCCAACCCAGAAAATGAGCAGAAGCCAAATAATCCAATTTGGGGGCAGAAAGTCGATTCTGTCATCACAGACACTGAAGTGGGGCACTGGATAGGCGATGCCTGTGGCTCAGTGAGTAGGGTGCCAGGTCCA